AAGCACCGACTCCCAATTTAAAAATCATTAAGGCATATCTTGAGTTTCACTGTGAGTAAATGGGGAACTGTACAGGCAACCCTGAAAACCTGAACTGATAAACTCAGCTCCTCCCAAGGATATTTGGCTCGATTCGGTGTCTGAATCTCTGAATCTGAATCAAATCAGGGGACCAATTTAAATGCCTGAATCGATTCAAAGCTCTCTGAATCTTCAGAAAAGATTCGGAGAGCTTTGATGATTCAGGCAGTCCCTGGTGGCTGCAGCTAGACTCAAAGCCAATATATACTAGGAGCAGGGAAGGAGGGACTGGGGGAGGAGACCATGGGGGGGACCCCTGCCAGCCCCCCCAACCCCCATTTGCTCCACCAGCACTCCACCGCTGGCCCTCCTCATCCCAGCTCAGTACTTTAAAAAAAAGCCCTGGTGCTCACAAGGTGCTGCTGGGCGGGGAGGCAATCCCTGTTGCCCCCCACTGCCCCACGCTGCATGTGGGGCTCTGCACGAGCCCAACTGCTCCCCCACTGTCCTAGCCACCCCAGGGATGCCCGCTCTGGACCTTTAAGAAAAAAAAACTAGAAAAGTTCCGGGAGACTTATTGCTCCTGCAGCGGTCTCGGGGCTTCAGGGAGCTCGTGCAGAGTCCCCAGTGTGGTGCAAGGCAGTGGGGAATGGCCCCCTGCCAGCAGGAATGGTGAGTGTGGGCTTTTATTTTTTTTCTTAAAGGGCCAGAGCTGAGCAGGGCACCCGTGGGGGGTTGGGGGAGTGAGGTGGGGTGTCAGGGGGCTTGTGCAGAGCCCCCCCATGTAGCGTGGGGCAGTGGGGATTGCCCCCCACCTGGCAGCACCCAGTGAGTTGGGGCTTTTTTTTTAACAAGTGCCAGGAGCTGGGGTGGGTGGGGCAGCCGTTGCCGGGCTGGGAAATCAGGCAGGGGATGGGCCACTGTGATTTGGAGATTCAGCCAATTCGATTCAGGACAGTGATTCAAATCACCAAATCAAATCACTGTCCCCCAAATCAGCCAAATCCGAAGCGAATACTAGCCACTTTGCACAGGCCTACTATGTAGTACACCCTTTTTTTCTCCTTGATTTAGAAGACTTTCAGGGATACTGATTTAAGTATGAATCTGCTCCTTTCCAGGCACTTTAATGTCCACAGCCTCTGTTCACTGTAGCTCAGCTCTCCTCTTTAAATAAAGAATTCAAGTATAAATTAAATTAAAATTCAAGTATTAAATAAATATTTATTTGAGTGTGATCCTATTTTCTGGTCACCATTCCCTAACAACATGTAGTGAATATAGATCTATGGCATTACTCTTCTCCTCCTTTGTTCATGAAGTGGTTAGTTATTGTTGGGATGCTTGCATATAAGCTAACACACTGTTAAGGAAAAGATTATATGTTTTCTTTCCTGTCCAATTAACAGTTAGTAAAGGAAGCTGTAGTCCAGTGCTCATTTCTGGGCAATGCTGGGCATCCTGCTCATTATTTTTGCTGGTCATATTCCTCCATGTCATTTTATGGATTTTAATGCCAATGAAGAATTTACTGGGAAGCTATAGAGACTTTAAATTCACTGGCATAACGATGTTGAGGTCCCACTCTTACAAGCAGCTCTGCATGGCTGGAGCTCTCACCATGTGCAAACCCCCTCAACTGCCATGGAGATCTGTGCCAGTGTAGGAGTCTAGCTGTGCTGACCAGCTTGCAGGACTGCAGTCTCTGACTGACTTGGGAGATAACCCATCTCCACAAAGCACCAGGCACACTTCCAGTGCCCCAGGCAGATATTTAATAAGCAGGTCAGATAGCAGCCTGCATCAGTAAGCCACATAAAGCAGCATGAGCAGGCCACACCAAGGGAAAGTAAATGATAAACACATGGCTGAAGGGAAAATTAGAAGTTCGTGCTTTCCACTCTTGAAAACTTGGATTTAAAAGTTAATGGGTTCATTTTAAATTAAACTGAGAGTACTCAGATGTGCAGCGAAATATGCAGTCATTCTGTTCTCTAGGTCTAGTTTGAACTTTCTAATCCCTGCTAAGGGCCATTATGGCTTTGAGCTCAGGAATGTGAGCTCCTTCAATAATATCTATAGGAAGTGAGGGAGGAGGTCGTCTGAAGAATCCCTGGGAGGGCTGGAAACCCCCTGGCATCTATTTAAGGAAAAATGCCAGCTTGCTTGTGGTAATGAGAAAAATCACCTGGCCCCAAGAAAAACCCCACTTAACATGCTTCTGTCTCCTTTCAGCCACTGTTTCATTTACTTCAAGCTGAGTACTGGTAAAAATCATTCAGAGAGGACAGAAAGCTGGGTCTGCACTGATGCCCTGAAAGCAGTCAAGTTATCAAAGCTGCTTGGGCATTGGCATTCCTATTGCAAAGAATAGGAACTGGGCAGCCAGATCCTCAGGTGCATTTGAGACTAGCAACCTCAAACTAGGAGCGAATGTGACTGTGACATCTGAAGTGAGTGTCACTTCCAGAGGTGCCAGTCCAGGCTCCTCTTCGAGTTCCAGCAAGGAAAATGGAGTTGAAGTTCACAGCTTTTAGACTAGTCTAATGGGATTTGTAGTTCCTGAGTGAAATCTACTAAAGGTTTATTCTTCTGAGCAGGACTGTTAGTGTTGCTGCCCTGGCCAAATTCAAACTGAGTAGTTATGCTATGTCTCCCGTTCCCCAATAGATGCAACTGAATGAAATAATCCTCTTCCTTTTTCCCCTGGCTTCTTATGTTGCTGTGTGCTGTTAAAAGTTGGCTAGCATCCATCATAGAAATGGCTGCATTTCAATGGTGAGTGGTATGCCTTTTCTGTAAAGCATTTCTTCATCTTTACCCAAGGGCACATTGTCATTGGTACCAATGCAACAGACCAAGTAAAACTAATATACCAAGTGGTGGCTTCTGTACTATACACTGAGTAGTTCCACTATTACAAAATTCTACCCAAATGTATTATCTGTGTCTAGAGGGCCACCAACAGTTTTGTGCTGGTTAGCAGAAAACACCCCTGTGAACCTTTAAAACTGGCAAATAATCACCACTGTAACTCCTCATGCTGTGATTCACATCTGGAGATACTCTAGCTCTGTATTAGCTATAGATTTTCTTCCAGCAATATTACTTGGGGTCTGTCTATAAGGCAATATATATGGCAAGTCTTATCTAAGGCTCTCCTACATTTGGTTTCAGCGTGGATTTCCGGCATTAGTGCTGACAGTCTATATATGTGTGTATACTCACTTTGCATTTCACTGTTGAGACAGATCACAAAGAACTGTGGCAGCTTTTCATGCTTTTTCACTTGTGTTTTTAATAGCCTGTATCTAGGAAGGAAGATTAGAGAAAATATTCTTAAGTATTCCAAATTGCCCCCAAGCCTTGTCACAGCAAGGGGCCCCCACCAAAAAAGAGCTTTTCTTTCATTTCTCTTTCCTTGCTTGACTCAGCAGGGAGACAGTCCTGGAAGCTGTGAGAATTTTTAAATGGCCCATATCCTTCTCTCTCTTAGAATGATGGGAAACCATAATAATCCTACTGCACTGTAGGATTACTGTACCCTAATAATATAGAGCGTGTATTTTCTCCATTTCCATCTTCAAATGCTATCAGTTTTTATCTTCAGCATCTTGTGCAGTAGGTTCTTGCCTTGCTTTGTTGTGTTTATATCCCTTCCCAAGTATCTAGAAATACAAAGCCCTGGGTTCTCCGTATATACCTCAGCAGAATTTTCCACTCATGTATTTACCTCTTAAATGCATCTTGCCTTGTAGGGGACATATGGCATATGTTTGAGACATGCTATGCCATTTACTGCAGGCAAGTATGTTGGCAAGGGCTAACACATGGATCACAGAGCCATGACATGGCATAAAGAACATTCTAGAAGGCAAGCAAAGTAGAAGTTCAAAGGCAGCTTGACCCCTGCTCCTGTTAACCTGTTCTAAGTGGCTTATGGTTGCACTGCAGGATTAGGCTGTGATCACAGCTGTGCCATCTATTCTACAATCTTATAACATCAGCATTTTCCATATTATCCAAGTACCTTCCCGTAGCACAAGGGTAGCCAACCTGTGGCACGTGCAACACAAGTGGCACAGGCAGCTTGTAGATGTGGCACATGGCAGAACAGGAAAGGACAGGTAGCGCAGTAGTAGATGGGGCAGGGAACAGAAGGCAGAGCAGGAAGCAGAGTGCAGGTCCCCCACTGCCATAAATGATGCGACTACTGGCACACATGGTACATTTGTTTATCCAGGGTCAAACAGTTTGCAGCAAGATTGCTGGACTCCACCCTGTGAAGGCTGAGATGCACTGGTTACAATCCAGTCTTGTGAGCCTGCCAGTTTTTTCTCTACTCTCAACATGAGGCAGATCTTACTCTCCAACATGCACGTATTTACAACATTACTCCTAGCTGCTTCAACCATGGGTGGATTAGCTGTATCCTCTATTGCAGGGATTAAATTGCATAAAGAAACCTATTCGGAAGTTACTTGTCAGAGGGTGATGCAACACATTGAATGTTTACTTGACGATGCCCTATCCCTCTTGCCCAAATTATGGGATCTCACAAGGTTTTGTAACTCCTTTATATGAGCAATGTAACATGACAGGTCAGCGATGCTATGACATACTAGTGTAACCACAACAGGTCAACAATGACTCCTGCTAACACATCTGAAATTTAATCAATGGTTTTGCTTCAAAATATGAAATTTAAGGAACACTTAAGATTCATCAAAAGATCATTAGTTCTGTAGCAGGCCAGAAGGAACCAATGGGTTTGGAATGATTTACTTTCAGCTTAGACAGGAGCCACTTTCTCTATTTTGTTCCTTTCAAACATTTCCTCAGACCAAAATCCTGTACTGAGGAAGCCTTTTAACTAAAGGCTTGAGTAACAGAGACATGCAGAGGAGTATGAAGCTTTATTGTATGTAGATCCTTCTCAGTCTACAGGTATAGCTTTCATCCTGGAACATACATAGAGGGTATGGATTCCTTCCAGTTGCTGATTATTCTCTCCATTAAATGGACAGCATAGGAGTGCTATCAAGAGTCAATGAAAGGTGACACTTGTAAAGGTCATTTCCAGTCAAAATAGCCCATTGTGAGCTTATACACCATTATGTACCTGCTGGCTTACATCTCTGCAGTTACTGTAGATAAAGTCACAAATCAACATGGCCAAACTGGAAACGGAACAATTACTGTTAACCCTGTCCATTATATTAACAGCAGCATACATAGGACCTGTAAGACCATCCAAAATGATCATTAGGGTAATAGTGGTGAAATGTTGCCTTTGTTACAAGGGATGGCCATCTCTTTCCCCCCAAGCAAACCCCTTGCCCCTGACTCCAAGACAATTAAGGTTTGGAATAAGAGTCCAAATGAATTTGCATATGGCGCCTGTTAGATTAAAGACATGAGAATCACAAATCCCACAGCCCAAAACAATGAAGTAGAAATCTCAAAATCCTTTGCACCTATGGAGCTTGGACATAGTGAGTCACTACGCAGCCTTCAGGAAGGCCATGCTCTTGGGCCAAGAGCTTAATACACAATGCAAGAACCATGTTGCAAGTTGGAATCCATCGCTCTGAAGTTCTTTTAGACACAGAAAGAGTTTGTTTGAAACAAACATTTGAAGACAGAATCAGGTGTAATAAGAGTCCAGTGAACCTTCTTCTTTGGAGAGCAGAGAGACTGCATGGAAAGAAGCCGTCTGTGCCTAGGTTAACCAACACCTCCTTACGTGATGTCTTTCTGCCGTGGGGGCCGGTGAATGTTCCTCACTACACACTTCACCATCCACTCGATTCCCTCATTCACTCCTTTGCTAAGGAAACACAAGACAAAGGCACAGTCATGGTTCATACCATCTGCTGCAGGTACTTTAGTTTCTTTCTCCTCCCTGAAGTCCTTCTTTTGGATTACGTTGTTTTCCTACGCATCTGAGTAATGGGTTCCAACTGTTCAGTGCCAGATTTCAAACACTCCATTATTCAGTTTCCCAGTACTTTCACAGTGTAGTCTCTGTCCTAGCTCAGACTTAATACTGGCAACATGAAAGTCTTGCAACAAAACATCAAACAAACTACTTGATGTTCAGCTGGTTTGTGGTATTGCTACAAAACTTAAAGCTAGCTCTATTTCCAGGGCCGCAAATCTTCCAGGTGTTCTTTTTGTCCAGTTCAAAGTGACTTAAAAAATTAATAAGCTGATATGATCACAAAGTAACCTCAAAGCTGCTCGTTTCATTTTCATTATTTCAAACCTTAGATCCAAAGGAAAACTCAGGGGTGGGGCCAGGAGAATTCCAAACAGACTGAAACTCAGGGTGTTTGCACAGGTCAGTGTATCAGAAAATTAGTTTCATACTGCCTTTTCTGCTCCGTGTGAAAGCTAGACACTGAGTAGACGGAAACCCTGACAGGGTTCCGCGACTTTTGGAAGTTTGAAAACCACTGCCCTAGACAATAAACCAGCTGCACAACCCTGAGTCTCAAGATTATATTGTTCTGTGCAAAACTGTGCAGCGGGCAGGGCACTCTCAGCAGCCTGCATACTAGAATTTCCACCTGCAGTTTCCATCAGTGCAGATGAACAAAGATAGGGCACTGAGACACAAGGCAGGGTAGGGGGGCACTTTAGAGACTGAGTGGTTCAGAAAGACATGAGGTTTCATAAGAGACAGCCTACTTCACCAGATACTATGAATGGCAGCAAGAGGAAAGCATGTTTTCCTTCGATAGTTCTTTCCTGCAAGTCATATAATGCCCCTCCAAGTGCCCTATGTATGTTTTTTTTATTCAAGTGACAGTTGCCTCCCTGCTGTGGCATTTCACCAGGCCACCCGAGCCTCCTGCCCCTCCTAGACTTACCCAGTGAGAGCTGAGCAGGCCTGTGTCAAGCAATCCCTCTTCCCAATTTTGTTAATGCAGTCACTAAAAGCAGTCTTGATGTCAGGGATCGACAGACATGTCTGCAAGAGAAACCATAACAAAGAATCTGCCTACTGCAGCACAAGATGACTGTCCCCCGTCCAACCTGCAGCCCCCATGCATCCCTGGCACAGCCTCCTGCGCAGTTTTGCCTTTCAAGTGAACTTTAGTGACTGTGCAAATGTTTAAGCAACTGTGCTAGTTCCAGACATCCCCATGCCCTCCAGCAACCTCACTGCTCTTGCAGGCACGGAACTCATGATGCAAAAAATGCATCATGTCAAACTGCACAGTGGCTTCATGACAAGATGAAATTCTGGACTGCAGGTCTGCACACTTCCGGGATTCCCTTCCCACACCATCCCACCCCCACCCCCCGCATGCAAAAGCCAGCCTTTTCCCATTCACACAAACATGTTTATTTCCAAAAAATGTCTCTGGGAGGTTCCTGAGCCAGTTCCAGTTCCTGCCAGAATCTCCACTGCTGTAGCAGACAGATCTCCAGGGCAGGCATGTTGGTGTTTTCCTTTGTTTGCACAACACTGAATGTAGCAGCTGCACTCATTTTTGAAAGTTGCTCAGAGGTGTTTTCACTTAGGTTTCTCTCAGGTGATGTGGCCTCCCCAAGTTTTTAAGTCTGCATGGCACAGTGCTGTTGTTGGAGGGCTCTTGATTCTGGAATTTGCTTCTCCTCTAGGTCTGACAGAGCTTGACGGATTGCAATGGGCTTCACTGCAACCAGCTGCTTGTTTCTGTTTTGGCTGGAGACATATGGAACACACCATGCTCTCTGGGGCATGGTGACACTGATGCAAATGCCCCAACTTCTTACCTGCGAATGAACTGCCCATGCATCCCAATGAGCAAGATTTAAAAAAAAACAAAACAAACCATCCAAAACAGCTTAGTCTGGCAGGTCATGACCACGGTCACACTAACAAACTCTAGCCCCTCCCTCTTCCTCACTGGTTGACTGAATTTACTATAAATCTCTTGTGCCCTAAGGACTTCTCTAAATACTTTTACCATCAATGTGCAGTGGTATTAATCAGACACTGACATCATAATCTTTGGAATGTGTCACAGCACCAGGAAAGGGTAGATGTTAATTTTTCCTTCTGGCTTTTCATAGCAGTACCCTGGCCTACCATTAGAAAGGTATGATCTTATTTCGTACTTTAGTCTACATTATGCTTTAGAAACTTGGAGCCTGTTTCTGGCATGTTCTCCAGAAACCAGTAACGGTATGTTAGAAATGAATGATCTAAACAGACTGGAAGTGTAGCCAAAACAAGTTAAAGTAAGTATGATCATTAGCCAAGAGACTATGTAAAGCAGAGGTCTCTTATTTCAATACTGTATTCCTAAATTAGGGCAGGGACATGTGCAAAAAGGAACAATGTGCAAGAAATGTGGACTAAACACAGGACTGGGAACCAGAAACTCACAGTAAGTTTTGACCTTGCTGCTCTCTCAACAGTCCCAGACAAGTGTTTAATTTTCATCTGGGCACTGCCCAGTTTCTCTCTCTGCAAGCACAGTTTGAACCTGCAGTTAATTACAGGCTGAAACATACTTTCTAGGCAAGGAAGCATTTTACTAAGTGAGCAAGTCAGGTCAACTTTTTGCCTAAGGAGGGAGGTTTTGATTCCACAATTAACTGCAGGAGAGTCCAGAGGTAATGTTCACAGGTACAGCTTATGCATGCAAAGAGGAAATGTGTTTTCTACAAGTGTGGGCCTTATTTAGGTCCCTCAGATGCAAGCCAGAGACATGACAGTTGCTATCTATTGCAGAACAGCATATTGCAAATGTAATCCAGGTAAGTACTATGAAGATTACAAGAGGGTAACTGAGGACTGTTGTCCAGTGCTCATTCAAGTGAGGAATTATTAGCAGTGGTTTGAGATACTCTAGCCACTTCAGCTAATGCTTCTGAATCTGGAGTTGTCATCCTGCCCTCTACAATCCTCTCTCACACCTGAGTGCAGTCTGCTAGCCATGCAACTTCTTGACTGTGTTCTCTTGTAACCCAAGTTGAACTTCCAAACTCCAACAGCAAAAAGATTGAGTGTACTAACCCAGTACCCTATTTAATATGTACATAATGCAATCTTAAATAACACTCTGCTGCTTTAAACAAAAGCAAAGCCTGCCATTTGAAAATGCAACATATCAATCCACAGGCTAAACAGAGAATAGTTAGCAGTCTAAATCAAACACCAACTTCAGTGGCAGTTAGACATGGCCCTGGAGAGAGTCCAGACTCATGCTGGGGGATCTGGAAGGTAGAAGAGACAGGATGGCAATGCTAACATAGAAGTCTAGAGGTTTCCTTTCAGCTACTCTACTCCTCTCTAGTACCATAACCAAAGAAGGAAAGAGCTAGATGACTGCTGACTTAAATTCTGGCCAAGACAAGTTACAGCAGTAGTGGAAAGACAACTTCCATGCTGCCTATCCCTGCCAGCAGTTACTGATGAATTTACTGTGGTATTACTGGTTTTTCTAAGTGCAATAATGGCAGTGCTGAGCTGTTGCCAAGTCAAATGAAGCACTGAAAGGGAAAGGACAATATCAGCTGCCACCGGTTTTCACGTTACAGCAAGCCACTGACTCCCTTGGTGATAACATCTGATAGAACTTCTCAGAATCTCTCAAATTCTAAAAATGATGAGAAACAACAGGACAGTGTTAGGAGGCTCTGCATTACACCTAGAGCTCCAGGAAAGAAAAACTACACAAGAAATTCTACCACCAGGATTAGTATTTTGGGGTGTGGAAGAGACCTAATGAAGCCATATGGCTCCTCTCTGTACATGATCACAGACACATACTCCCGCTATTTCAATTGCCCAGAATGCAGAATCTCTCCTGACAGGTGAGAACCAGTACTTAAGTGAATACCAGCTCTTGCCTGTCCCCTGCATTCTCTCTTCGTAATCTTTTCCACGTCTCTAGCATGAATACAAATTGCCAGCCTGCACATCATCACAACTCCTATCCCACATCATCATAGCACTTGGCAACAGCCACAAACTTAAACCAAGGACCTATCAATCTCAACTATATCAGATGTTCATCCCAACAAGCCAGGAAAATATGCTATTGGAAATGGCTGCCATGACAAGGCATGGATGTCATGTTATAGTCAGAGTTTTCAAGTTCTCATTCTCAGCATTCACGGAGGTTTTTAATCTTGGAAACAATTCTTGTAAAATGAGATTTTGGTTGCACAAGAGTCCTGGACAGAAAATAGGGTGAGCAGCCAAAGCGTCTCCTCTCCCCCTTGGACTCCAATTACAGAGTCGAGATACAGTTACTTCCACAGTCTCTTCCACACCCCAAAATACTACTACTTGGAACCCAGGTGCTGGTGGTATGCTGAGACTAGTCAAACAAGAGATTGCCTACATCTCTGCCCCAGGATTGGTGTGGACCTGTGTGTATAAACAAAGCAAGTTGCACTTGTAATATAATATACCCAGACTGTGTATCACCCATCTCCTCCATTAGAGAAGCCTGCCTGCAATGTCCCAACTTATGCTACTGCTTGGCAGAAGGACAATGCAATAATCAGCCCTGCTATTGCAAAGAATTCTCTCATTCAACTTCTTTGGAAAGAACAGGTCTTCTGTAGCTACCATACATGCCAGTGTCACACTAAACAACTAAGACACAGATGAGACTTGTCCCCTTACCCAAGAAGTACAATGGATGAACCATCAGGCCAGTTTATGACAGATTGACTATAAGCCAGAAAGTAAACTGTTGTTCAAATGACACCAAGGCACTTCCCCCCCAACTTGATGGCTTTAGTGGTTTCACCAGAGACAGAGAAAGCTAGATGAGAAATGAAGACCAACCAACTACACCATTCTCACTGTTTCAAAAGCACTACAGTACCAGGGGACAAGTGCAGCCATGTGTTTGGACACTTGCCTATCTCACAAACGTAGCCAGTACACACCCTTCTGTTCCGAGATAGGGAGGCCCAGGGTCAGTCTCCTCCACCCTGCACTGCCCGCACCTCTGAGAAGGATGCTGAGTGAGTACTACTCACTTTCCAGAAGAATAGGAGTAATAAGCTTGGAGAGGGCTCTGCCCATGAGTTACAGCAGCAGCATGAAATACTGTAGTCATTGTTACAGTTTGGATCCCCTTTAATTCTATTTTAATCACTTCCCTTTCTCATTTCCTCTGAGAAGCCTTTTGTAAATTCCATAGAAGTGTTCAGTTACCTCAGTTTCAAAATCAGGCCAGGAAGTGTTTTACTTTTGGTGAAATATACCAACTACGCTATGAAGCCACTTTGCTTGGATGAGGAATTTGCTTTAAGGATTATTACGTGTCATCTCCAGAGCCAGGGGGAAAAAACCCACAGGCAATTGTGCACATATGCACAGATAGAGTGGATGGGTCAATACCAGTAGCGTGTCAATTTGGAGGCAATATACTTTAGCTAGAACAATTCTTGTCCCCAGCCCAGCCTTCCAAAGAGGCCATGAACTGGGGTCCTCAAAAGGCAATAGAAAAGATTGATTACAAAAAGACTAGGGCTTCCCAACCAGGCACATGTGTCTAATTTCAGGATTTAGAAGAAAACATCAACATTGTTGAAGGGATTTTCCCCCCCTGTTATTAAATACATTTATAAAACTGTGTTTTGTTCTTTAACTAAAACCATACCAACTCAGAACAAAACTATGGAAACCAAAACGATGGAAACCAGTACATAATAACAGACCATTATAATAATAAAACCCACACAGTCTGGAAAGGTCATCTCTACTAGATGTTTCAGAGAAAAGTCACACAACCTGGGAAACTACGTATTCAGTAAAAATACAATGTCCTGTGTGCCTCACCATTCACATACCACTGGATAAGATTATTTTAAGGCGAGGACGTACTTAAAATAACAGGGTTTTAAATACAGGAACTGTCCTGGATTATCATAGGAAACAAAAAGCAATATTTCCTGATATCTGCATCACTGACAGCTATTAGTTAAGGCCCCTGAACTCCAGCAACACACTGCTACCCACCCATACATTTCCCACCCCTACACTGAAGGCCTTTCAGGAAAGACAGTTTAGAGCTTTCCGAAGTTTCCAAAAAAGAAAGTCTTGGACTATCTTAACCCTAGAAAAATTAAATAAAATGCGGTCCCAGAGACCACATCTTCCTGAATTTCCAAAACAGTCTATTTGACATGTGCTATCTTTTGAAAGCTCTCAGTTCTTCCACTATCTATTAGTGGTATTCCAAAATGTCTCATATTTAACATGAAACATTCCCTCCACACTTGTTCCCTATTTAATTACTGTCAATTTTGTGATTCAGCCATTTTAGCTTTTTATTACGTCGCACTTAAAGCACATAAAGTTATACTGAAAATAAAGTGTAAATGCATATTTTGCAGGTTTCAGTGGAATAAACAATAGTCAAATAAAATCTCACCCCTCCAACCATTAGGGATTCCCACTCAAAAAAAACCCAACCTGTTATAACTTTGCAGAAGAAACAGATAGCTCCATCACCATATCTAATTTAATTCTGAATAGTCTCCTGATCAGGATAGTCTCAATAGGCATGGTAAAAGCATCGTTTGCTGTTGTGTTTCACTTTCCATTTGTATTTTGCAGCCTGTGTGCTAATATGTCAAGCATTTGAAAATGTTGAACACTGCTGTTCTTAGTAGCATCCAGTGGAATGATTTAGGATGTACTGCTATCACATTTTACCCAAGATAAACACATTGGCTGCTAATGAAAGAATTCTTGATGCTGCGCCAAGTTTCCTCGCATACTTTACGTATTCCAGGCCTTACAACAGTCTTAATTGAACAAGTTATACTTGGAACATTTACTAACTTGTTTGGAAACACAATAACCTCAAGACCTATGTCAGCTGTTCGCCACTTCTCAAGCATTTTGTTCAAATGTCCAAACACACAGTCATTACCAAAGCCTGCATCAGCTTTTAATAAACAAAGCCTGGTAAGTTTAGAATCCTGACCGTTTCAGATCTTTATGTTCTGTCCCAGCATGAGGGATCCCTGAGATGGCCTTTATTTTATTTTATTTTTTTACAGTCTGTACATTCGTATGTTTGCAGTCACAGCATAATCAATATGGGAGTCACACTGATCAGATCAATAGTCTGCTGGAGGAGATACAGTGGAAAACTTTAAAAAGGCTGAATCTTTGAGTTCTTAGAGGTTTGATCAAGACACTTCAGTTGTGTTAAGCTGTATAACTGTATAAATACAGAGCTGCTCCAGTCAGGATCTTTGTCAAGTCCTTATGCAAGTTCCATGGACTCAAAGAACTAAGCTCTCTGGGTTAGTGCTGTAGCCCCTCTGCGGTATCCAGTAAGTCATTTTGAGTTTGTAGATTGGAAGCCTGTTCTAAATCCTTTTTTCTGGTCTTGTGTAGAAACACCTGTTCAATCACTTTACACTGAGCCTGCCTGGATGCCAGAAGTGCTAGTGTCTGTGGCATGTCAGGGAAAATGGGAACAGTTCCTGCAACTGGTGTGTGGAGTGGCTGTCAGTGTATAAATTCAAGAGTAAAAAGACAGAAATGGATTGTGGTTGGAAATGGTGGGTAAGTGAGGACACTCCTTTTTGAAACAGAAGGCACTGACAATAGCTAGAAAAGTAGGTTATCTGAATTGACAGACCAATGACCTCAGAGTTGAAATGAGATGCCAAATGTGAAAGTATCTGGCTCCCTCTAGAGAAGAAACAGTAGAAATGCAACTGCTAGAGTTCTGGGTTGACTGCACATGAAAGATAAGGATAACGGAAGAAATGGGAGATCAGAAATCACCCCTTCACATTTCCTCGATATGTTCCACCTTGGCAAGACAGATCACTGAGGCACCTTCATTTGTGGTCCCTAGATTGGTCACCCAAACAATATCCCCAGCCTGATCTGATATTAAATGAATAGCTACATCGATTATTCTAAATATCCTAGAGGGGACTGAAATTATGAACCCAAGCCAGGTAAGCTGTAGTTTGCCATTCACTGCTTGTTTGTGAAGAGCTGTAGAACACAAACTGTTTCACTGGGCAGGGTTAGTTCAGTAAAAAGAGAGTGGGACTTCTTCGTCATATGATTTATTGTGATGGTATAAGAACAGTATAAACATGTATACAGCCAGCAAAAACAAAGCTGTGTAGTAATATAAAAAGTCCCAGAATAAATTGCATTAAGTTACAATAACAAAACCACATAGTTCTGTTGTGGCATGTAAAAGCCACTAGAGAGATGGAAATATTTGCTGTAGATTCATTTGTGCCTCTGCAGCAATTATTTATAGCAGCAGGAAAGGACTCCCACTGCTAAACAGAAACCAGGAAGAGTATGAAAATAAATTTATCTTGAATTTACAACCCACCTTTTCAAAGCTACAATAGTAGGCAAGAGATTTGTTTGTTTCTAATCTAATTTGGAAAAAACACACTCCTGATCTTACCTCTACATCCTGTTTGTTAGCCAGTACTAGAATAGGAACACCTTCGAGAACTTCACTAGTAATCATCTTCTCTGTAAAGCATAAAAATAGATGAGAGAAGTCTAGATCATACACCCACAGCATCATCCAAATGCTTAACTTACAATGGCTGATCTGAGAGGGAGCAAAAAGCCACCATGCATCTCTATTTAACTGGCTCAAACCCTGCCAGATTCAAGGTGTTCATCAGCTTCCACCTTTGACCATTTTATGCAGGTATGGTAATCTCTGGTTATTTTGCTGCTGCAAGAGGAATGCAAACAATGGCAAATAATAATGGTGGGAAATTAGAACAAAGATTAGTCAAATCCAGAGTGGTGAATTATTCAGCGTTTATTGTACCAACTAGATAACTCAATAGCTGGTTACAAGAAATCTGCTACATATGCAATTAGGGACCAAAATGCTGAATCAGAATTGAAACAAAAGCCCAAAAGGAGATGCAGGACCACTATAGGCAACTACAACTAGAGACAATATCATGTCTTCAGGTCACCTGCCCACTTGACCCCATGGACTTTTCAAACTTTATACTTGAGCAAGTACATGCATCACACAAGGTGAATTGACAGGGCTGTTCAACTGGCAGCCCATGAGCTTCATCCAGCCTGTGGGTTCCCACTCGACCACCACTCCCTCCATTATTTCTGTTGACACAGCAGGTCCTTGGAGGACAGCAGCATGGCAAAACGTCCTGTAAGCTTGTTGCCCATGCAGCATGGGGTAGGGGTGCTTGTGCTGCCCACTTGGTAGTGGCAAGGGGGTGAGCTCATGAGGCAGTGATGGGGGTGGGGTTGCCCAAACAGCAATGGTGGTACCAGGAGAGGAGACTCATGCTGCTTGCACAGTGGGGAAGGGAGGAGGAACCCTATCTGAGCAGCAGGGGTTCTGGGAACCTACACAGGGCATGGCCCCTACAGCATGCTGCCTGCACAGTGTGCAGCCCAGGACTCATGACCAGCGTGGTATGTGGACCCTGGCAACCCTGAAGCTGGAGAGCCCAGAGGTACAGATGCATGGTCATACAGGTAACAGAGCTGCAGAAAAAAATTGACCAAAATAACAGTTAAATTCCATAGCATAAACAGCCAGTATCAGTACCAGAAACACAAAACCCAGAAAATATACTCACCAAAAGCTCTTTTAGATTCTGACAGTCTCTCCTCATCCGTGGAATCGATAATATAGATGACCCCATGGGATTCAGCATAATACTGAAATCATAGCACACAGGTCAGCGTCTAATGCTTAGAGTAGAGTAGTCAGCTTCTCTTCCTATTTTTACATCAATTCTGTAAAGTTTCTGATACACATGGAAAAGACTGACTGAGATCAAACCACTAGTGTCAGGCATGTTGTCAGCAGTTTCGCAGATCCCTGTGGGCAGAGTTGGTAACTGTTCCTCTATCCCAATGGTTCACTATTTGCCATAGTGGGCCACACTTGTAGCTCTCAATGTGTTACATGGACCGCTCCCACACAACTTACTTCCTGTGTATCCATTTAACAAGATGTCATATGAGCCACAGCAGTGTGCTGATTGGGCCGCATGCGGCCTGCAGGTGGAGAACCACTGCTCTATCCAGACAGGTAAGATACGTTATTAGCTCTTCCTGATAACTAGAATTCAGCAGCAATCTCAGTCTGTAAGTCTCCTTATTATTCCATTGCCAAAGACCCCTGTAACCAGAGTCTGACAGGGGCATTCAATTGCTTAGGTGTTTTCTGATCTGCAGAACTTCACTTGGGCTACACAGATGCATGGAATTCCTTGGAAGTGTCAGAAAAGAAACCTAAGCAGTGACTTCTCTGACACCATCTTTAACAGTCACAGCCAGGATGCAGTGGCTTTTAAAGTCTAGGATAAGACATGCTAATCAAGCTGTTTGTTAAATATCAGCATGGAGTAGGCAGGGATACATTTACTGTTATACAAATACAACCAATAGTACTAGTGGCTCAGGTGGTTGTTTCCTCCATTTGTTATAAAAAGATGCTAATTCTGTTACCTGCTCTCCCCTGAGGGCTGAGAGATTTGATCAATTAGGGGTGTAAAGCGCTGTGAAAGGCTTAAGTAATGCTATTGATCTCTCAAACAGATTAATTGCACAGGGGTCAGTGCTATGTATAAGGTTCACCAAGAACCCTGTAGAGTCACCTTGTTTCCCCGCAACTCTAAAGAAACCCTAGAATAGAAAAGTTACTTCCTTTACCTTGTCCCAGAGAGACTGCAACTCGTCCTGCCCTCCAAGATCCCAGAACATTAGCCGGACTTTGCCCACATCAATAGTGCCAACTAGAGGAGAGAAAGCAACAAAAACATCCAATGAATACTCTGATTATCCTCTAAAGCAGCTTAACATATGCACACAAAAAGAAAGGACAGATGAAAAGTTCATCTAGAAAAAAAAAATGACGCTTTATTTCAGCGGTATTTCTCAACATGATAGCCACAACTAACATTAGTATAATTTCACCTTTCTATAAGTAAATAAAAACAGTCAGTGGAGCTACGCCAGTTTAAATGAGATCAGAATCAGGTCTACTAATTTCAATGGAGTTGCAGGACTGAATTGGCTTAGGTATGGTAAAACATGACATTTGTTCCTTCAGATTCAGCAAGTTTTCACCATCTGCTCTTAAAAGAATGCATGAAGAACTGGGAGGTGATGGAAGTATCTCTGTTAACATGCACTATTTTCACTGTGTAACCTTTTCCTAAGTACTTCAAGAAAAGATCAATTTCATGCAACTTTGCAGGAGGGGAAAAAAGAGGCTCCAAACCAATTCACTTACTGTTTAAGCCTACAGTAGTCGTAATTTTAGATAAGCTCATCCCTTTATAGTTTCTGTTAAATCGGATTTTAGTTTGCTCAAGGAAGGTCTGAAATTATAAAGAAAAACTAGTTACTGTCACATACTTTATTGTAAGAATGATTCTATCCAGACCTGCTTTCCCCCTACTAGAAACTATCAGGATTCTCCATGAAACCTTAGAATACAGGCAGTCCTCAGACTTACAACACAATTGGTTCCTGAAAACCACATCTTAAGTCAAAACGTTGCAACTCAGAACCAATTTTCCCATCGGAAACAATGTTATAAATGGGGGATTGGTTCCTGAACCAAGGCCCAACACCCTATTTTCACCGAAAATACCCCAGAATTTTGTACTTGATCAATTATAGATGAATAATATAGCTACATGAATGTATTTATATTGTAAATAGCAATCCTATTGATTTGGAAGGACTACTTCGAGGAGTCTTTGCTGGATGTTTTGAAGGGTTGTTGGCTGGAGTCTTCTGAGAAGTCCTGGCTGCAGGTTTTTATGGAGTCTTGTCTGCTTTCTTAAAGAAAGTGTCCAAGGAAGTTTGAACAGATGTTATGCAGGGGGGTGGGCAACACAGCAAATTTGTTCACTGGCATGGCTTGGCATCAGATCAGGTGCTGTAAAGTCAAAACCCACGTCAGAAAGTTGAAACAGGGTGTCAATTTATAAACGTCGTAAGTGTCATTCGTTGTAACTTGAAGCGCTGTAACTTGAGGACTGCCTGTATAATACTTGCTTTATTTTCCCTGTCATACCACAGAACCCAGAGGCGTTCACAGGTGATTGTGCGCTTATCAAAGCCTGTGCATAAATCTGTCTGAAGGCTTACTACACTAAAATTAGGTGGGGGGAAAAAAACCCCCATCCTTGAGGTTACATCACTGAAGTAAAACCAAGGAAGAAACTTGCCTGTACTCCATCTTTGCAGGGAAGGAAAAGGTCGAACTGCACATGCCATCTAGACAGAGAGAGAAATAAAAAGCACATACCGTTTTACCAGCATTGTCCAACCCCAGGATCAAGATGCAGTATTCATCCCTCTGGAATATGTACTTATAAAGCCCAGACAACAGCGTATACATCCTGCTCCTGCAATAAAAAACCCAAGTCAAATCCTCCTGTACGGTTTTATCTACTGTTGGTTAGCAATACAGGTTTTCATTCCTGTTCTTAGCAAAGGGAGCAAGACCGAGTTTAAGGCCAAGCAAGACAAAGCGTTGGCTGGGATGATGTAAACGGGGATAGTCCTGCTTGGAGCAGGGGATGGAGCAAGACTGAGCAATGTGAGCTCAAACAGTCTTGCTTCTCACGTATTCAGAACCTATGACCAAAGGCCGACCAGCTCTCGCCCGCACACCTGAAGCAGATGGATTTTCACCCGCACCATGCTGAATTGTTTGAAAATCTTGCCACGTATTTGACTGCCTGAACAGCAGCGGAGCAGTCCCACGCATACGTAAATCCCTCCACATCCTGGGCTGCCCGTTGCCATGCCAACGCCAGTAATCGCAGTGGGGTCCATCTCACCGTGCAGATCAAGGAGCAGCAGGCGGCCCATGCACAGGGGCCCAGCATCAGATCTGCCGGTGCCTGACTGCAAGTCATGGACAAAGAGGGCTTCTAGTCCACCCCTGCTCCAAGCAGGACCAGTCCCAACTACATCATCCCAGGCACGGCTTTGTCTACCCGGGTCTTAACCCCATTGTCCGCTCAGTGCTGGGTTATGCTGAGAAAAACAACCCCCGAAAATGCATCTTTGTGACTTTATAGGACAAAAGATCGTTATTTCTGCACAAATGCACACACTCGATATGAATCATAATCGCGGAGCCCTAGATGGGCATGGCTTTGTCATAATGGAGTGAAAAGGTCCATTTTGTGTGTGTGTTTTTTCCCCCCTTATTTCGAGGTAGGCTGCGGAACTGAGGCCTAAACCCGGCGTGGAGTCGCCCGCCCCTTTGGGTCGCTCGGCCCGGGGCTGCCCACCCTCCTCGTGGGGCAGTTTCTCCTCATATCCCCTCTGCCCCTTGCCCAGGCACCTGCCACCCGCGAGAAGCGGCGCCCGCAGCTACGAGGCTCCCGGCGTCGGGGCACAGAAGCCGGTTAGCCCTCGCTGGACCCTTGGAAGCCGGGACGCCGCACGCCCTGAGGGGAGAGAAGGCCCCGGCGCCCCCTCCGAGCAGACCCGCCCGTCTCGCCTCGCCTCGCCTCACCTCACCTCAGCGAAGCCCCAGAGGGGAAGCAGCAGCCTCCCCGCGGGGCGCGCTGGGAACTGTAGTCCGCCCGCGGAAAGAGCCCAGGCGGGCCCAGCGGGAGCGGGGAGGCGACCGGACTCCAACTCCCGGCGTGCCTCGCGCGCGCAGCTCTTCTCCCCCTCCCCACCCACCTCACCTCAGGCGCCATTGGAGGAGAGGCTGGAGGACCTCCCTCCCCCGCCAAGATGGCGGGCGGAAGTGACGCGTGGGCCTGCGGTGTGCTGGGGAGGAAGTCCCGCGGGAGTGTCATGGCGGTGTGGAGTGAGTGAGACCTGTGCCGGGGGGTCATTTCTTGGGAGGGAGTCACCATCTCCATGGTTACCAGCCTCTCCCAGCCCCATTGGTCAACGATCTCCAATTGGTCAGTGATCTCCATGGTTACTAACCCCAGTGGGGTGGGGATGTTATAGGGGGCAGATGCTGGGTGCTGGCTCCCCCACCCCCGCCCCATTTGCGGGGATGCTGAGGGCCGGGTGGCTTCTTTGTGCCCACCCCAGCAGGAGGGTTGGAGTGCTCAGCTCCCTGGTAGGCTGGGCTGGGCGCCCTTCTGGACACGGAGCAGGTCAGGATGCAACCCTGCTGCAGTAACGGGGGTGCAGGGGGGACGCAGCGTGGGAGCTGCACCCCCCTGCATGGGAGCAAAGCCTGGGGGACTAATAGCTGGGCCCCGGGGTCGAAGGGTGCGGGAGGGGGTTGTCTTCTCCTCGTGTCTCCTCACGGTTGGATTCTCGGAGCCGACCGAAAAGGCATCACATTTGCTGTCCTGTGTACAGGTTTGCGCGGGCTGGCTCTGTCAGGTCAGAGGTGTGAGACGCAGAGTAGACGCGTGCGCGGTCATGGCGGTCTCCACTGTGAGCCCCATGATTGGTTGCAGTGGGGACTTTTCCTGTGAGTCCTGGCGGTAACGCTGCTTTCAAATCTCCATTCACTGCAGCGTGATTCATCCGGTTGCGCCAAAGAGAAGAAAACACGCGATGGCTGAGGAGCCTGACAGCTAATTTGGACAGAGATTTGCTGTCGTCGTTCTGGCAGGCTACTTGAGTGTGTGCTGATTCCCGCCCCCAGAAAACAGGACCCAGCAAGACGGCTTTATACTTGACAGCGATGGATGAAGAGAGTCTGGAAGCAGCAATTCAAACCTATAATGCCCAGCTGAAGCAGGTAGAGCTGGCTTTAGAGGCAGGGCTGGACCCCTCACAACAATCTGACTTGATTCAGTTGCAGGAGGATTTAAAACAGCTGATAGAATTGACTGAATCGAGCCTGGTGTCTGTTAAAAAGAGCAAACTATTAGCCACTTTAGACCCTGCTGCTCCCTCCGCCTCTCCAGCAGATCACCTGAAGCAGGATGCTAACCCGGGCAGTTCTTCCTATGATGACGAATATGCTGCTTTTAAAGAAGCTATCGCTGAAGCTGGTGGCAAGGACAGGCCTTCAGGTACTGAGGATGAGGTTTCTCCAAAGAAAGATGGAGAAGCTGACGGGGAAAATGAATCGAAGTACAGTGAGGAAGAGGAAGAATTTGAGAGAGATGAAGAGGAGGAGGAGGAGGAAATGAGTGGAATGAAGGTTAAAGCCCCATATTACAGTTCCTGGGGCACTCTGGAATACCACAATGCTATGATTGTGGGGACGGAATATTTGGAAGATGGCAGCGCGGGAGTCAGAGTGCTGTATCTCTATCCAACTCACAAGTCCTTGAAGCCGTGTCCATTCTTCTTGGATGGCAAATGCAGATTTAAAGAGAATTGTCGGTAAAGAAGCTGATTTTCTTTGTGTTACTAGATGGTAATTAAAGGCACTGTCAGCTAAGGCAGTAATCTCTGATTTAAACACTTTATCTTATTTGGCTTTTGAAATCTGCCGCAACTTTGCCAAAGTTTTTTATGTGTCTGACAGTGTCATCCTTTTACTATCCTATATCAAACAATGAGAGAATTCCTTCTTCTAACCCAAGGAGAAAATGGAAAATCCTTTAAGTGAAAACTGCAAGGAAGGGGTTAATTCTAATATAATGGACAGCTAAATAAATTCTTGCTAATGAGGAAGACAAAACTGCGGGGGGCGGGGGGGAAGCCTCAATAATTTTGTATGTAGCTCCTGCATTTTGTCTTGAAAGATCTGTTTTGCCACATCTGTTGCTGCAGATATTGTTGATGACCAGTGAGATGCAGCCACTTCTGAAATGGACTACATTTATTTTATGATATTGAAACCAGTTGGGGGGATGCATCTTTCATAATTACTGGTGTGGATTCAGCCATGCTGACACTTGATCAGCTTGCCCACATCCCTTTGAAGGAAGAAACTTTGTCTAGGCTCATTTTCAGATGAGGGCAGATCTCATCACTTCTCTTTCTTGCAGGTTTTCCCATGGGCAAGTGGTATTGGTGGAAGAACTTCGTCCATTTGAAGAACCTGACCTCAGTTCTATGGAGGTGGGTTCTGCCTGTTTAGCTAAACATAATGATGGAATATGGTATTCTGCGAAAATCACTGGTGAGTCTTGTTTTAATATATTTTAGCTGGGTTGGAAGGTGAACTGAGGTGCTATGGTTAAAATAGAAGGATTAAACTCTTCAAGATCAAACAGAACTAAGGAGGGTTTCTGGGTCTGGGTGCAGACCTGGGAGTTTTGAGATGAATAAATTCGTCTCCCATCTGTGCCACAAACTTGGGATGCAAGAGATGTTGTGTTGCTTAATTCACTAATATTTGTAAAGTGCCTTGTGAGCCCATAATCGTGGGTGGGGGGGGGCTTTAAAGGAAAAAAGGTGAAGGAGCAAAAGATGGAAAGTAGGGAAGACCTGGAGAAAAGGGGAACAGTGGGCAAAAAAAAAAGGCATAGAAATGAAAGTGTGTGTAAAAGAAGGAAAGAATTAATTAGTTAGATGGTCAGTAAATTGTCCTTGTGTCCCTGACCCCCTATTCAGCACTGTTCAAATATTCTAAGCACCTGGTCAAATACGGAAGTTAGACACTTGGAACAACTCGCTCTTGTTTTAAGTGAGCACCAAATTAAACACAGCCAAGAGAATTTGGCCTGCTGCCTGCTCGCTAAGGGGAATGTTAGACTGAAGTGCTTCTATGTGTGAAGTGGAGCCTGTTCTTCACTCTTCCATCTTGAAGCGGCAGCAGAGGACTGGAGGATGCCTTTAACTTTGCCTGACTTACAGCGTTTCTGCAATGCCTCATACCCATTCTTCGTTCTAAGAATAAACAGCTGAGTCTATCTGGGTTTAGCTGGCTATAGATGTGAGTGGCATGTTTTCCTTTTTTAACTAGAAACCCAGCATAGCAAAAGCAGATAACAAGGAGAAGAACTTTCAATCAGTGTTCACTGGGCCTGCCTCATCCCTGGTGCCACTTGGCTGAAACCAAATGCAGTTAGGAGCATAAGGGTTAGATGTTGTCCTTTGTAGTTACTTCCCTTGGAGACTTGCACAGTACATCGTTTTTCCTTCCTCAGACATTGACAGTGGTTATTACACTGTGAAGTTCGATTCACTGCTGCTGAAAGAAGCTGTTGTGGAAGGAGATGGCATCATTCCTCCACTACGAAGTGATGAGAGTTCTTCTGAAGAGTCTGAGGAGGACAATGTAGATGATTCTGGCTATGCTAAAGGTGATTCTAGCTATGCTAAAATTAGGGAGCGAGAGAGTGTTAGAAAGGCCCACAATCAAGACCTGCCCTGTAATTCCAGATCTCTTGAGCTCTTGCCCTGCCTTAGTAGAACATTGACAGGAGGTTTTCAGTTCTGGAGAAAGGGGACAGAAAATCTCTCTCTCACTCTCTCTCCTGTTACTGAAAAAGATGCTAGGGGGGGATTAAGCATGAGTTATATCACTCTCACCAGTAAAATTCTTTGATGCTTCATGTAAACAAACTAAACTAAGCTAAACTGGACCCATAGCTTCCAAGGAAAGGCTGATGAAAACATATCCTACCCTAGGATGAAATTGGAGAGTAAGCAGGCATGGAATGGGCTGGAGGTTAGGATCCCCATAGTTCAGATCATGGTTTCCCTGTTTGACTTGTTAATTTAATAAACTAAAAATTAAATGAAATTAAAAATCATATCCTGGGCCCTTTTGATTCAGCCATTGTTCTTGGCATGTAGAATAGCCTTATACTTTGTCTGCCTTTTCCTTTCAGGCACAGTGTTGCCACAGCCTCCTAAAGGACGCTTATTGATATTAGCTCCTTAATGAGAATGGGGGAAACTTGAGACTGAGAATCTCAGGGATGTCCCTGGGGCCCTACAAGAAGTCCTACAGAGTTGGGATTTGAGCTCTAGTCTCCCGGTCCTCTCTCTCTCGCCTCCCAACTTAGGGCCTCTGTCTTTGTGTCTCACTGATCCATCTCTGTTTTGTGCTACAGTAATAGATTCAGCGTCCTTGGAGAACGGGGACTGGACTCCGGCTTGCAGCTCATCCTTTGCTGGGTGGGAGGCCCATACTCGCGGCATTGGCTCCAAGCTGCTTGCTCGAATGGGTTATGAATTTGGGAAAGGTAAGGATAGGCCCAAAACCTTGCTGTATTGTTGGCTGGCTGTGTGCTCCTCTTTTCATCTCCAGGTTGACTTTTAACGCCAGCAGCTCTGCACCCAGGGACGGGGTCTAGTTGTTTTAGGCTTGGCTGTGAATTGGGATTTTTAACATGAGGTGGTTGGGGAGGCTCATTGGGATGCAGAGGACTTTGTTGTTAGTGTTTGGCTTCCCAACTGTGTCTTCCTGCCCTCTCAGGTCTAGGAAAGAACTCTGAAGGCCGTGTGGAGCCTGTCCAAGCTGTGGTGCTGCCAAAAGGGAAGTCCCTGGACCAGTGTGCTGAGATCCTGCAGAAGAAGGAGGGAAAGCTGCATCCAAGCAAGTCAAGAAAACGCCAAGTGAAGGGAAACCACAGGGCAGCAGCTAGCTCAGGGAGCCGCAAGCCACCCCGCAATGTCTTTGACTTTCTGAATGAGAAGCTGCAGGGGGAAGACTCTGGGAAGCGGGAGGAAGGAGGGATGGGACTGCCAGAGAGGAACAGCAAGGAGATCTACCACGCCAGTAAGAGCACCAAGAAAGCTTTGAGTGTCCGCTTGTTTCAGACCATGGAGAAAATAGAGCAAACGCAGAAGAATATCAAGGGAATCCAAGAGGCCCTGGCACGCAACATTGGGCGGTACGGAAAATCCCTCTCTCAGGTTCCAGACTGATTTGGGGGTTCCTGTTGCTTAGGCTGGGGGGGAAAATACATGTGGCAATGTGGATGGGAGGGTGAGGAGCTGGGTTCCATTGAAGAACAAGTGTTGAAGGGAACCTCACCCAGGGTTGCTGGGTGAGGTGTATGAGCCAGTGCGGTAGGGTCCATCCCTTTTCTGTCTTAATTGCCTAGAGGGGACCTAATGCAAAGTGTGATGATAGAGCTCTCAACCATGACTCAGAGTAGCACATGTCTCCGGGTGCTTCCCATTGTCTACAATCCAGACTGGGGAAGGAAGGGAACACTTAGTAGAAAGGCTGAAGAGCATCACTTCCTTTCCAGTTATTTATTCTACTACAGCATTTCCATGACCAGCCCCATGGCAAGGCACCTCTCTGCTCTGACACATGTTCTTCTGGGGATCAGGTGCTTCATGGCCCCTAGCAGATGGCTTGCAGCCACTTCGCTGCAGAAACTGGCTTGCCCAGCTGCAGAACACAGCTGGGTTAATGACAAAGCTTTGTTCTTGATGTGTAGGATAGCCTTATATTTTGCCTGCCTTCTGCTTTCAGGCACAGTGTCACCACTGCTCAGCTGGAGGAGAAACTGGCTAACGCTCACAGACAGCTGGGGCAGCTGCGGGCCCAGGAAGCCAGCCTGCAGCGGGAGCAGAAGAAAGCAGACACGCACAAGAAGATGACTGAGTTTTAGTCTCCCAGGAAGGGGTGGGATTGTCTTGGTTCTCAAAATGGCTGAGCCACACACTCACTGTGTCTGAGCCTGAGTAGCCCTGCCATCTCCCCCAGGCTCCAATCAACCCAGATGTATCCTGGGGTAAAAAACAGCAGCTCTTCAAAACACATGATGCCATGTAAACTGAGCTGTCCTGGATGGGGGAGGTGGGAGGAGGAAGAGTGTGCACCTTCTTTGCCCCAGATGTGTTCAGAAGGCCCAAGCCACTTATGTGGACTTAGTACAAGAAAACAGACCCCTGCTACTTCTCTTGTACCCTGGTAGTCCACCCACAGAACCTTTGGTCCCAGTGCCTTGCAGACTGTAGATTCTGCTCCCAGTCCCAAGACAAGTGCTCACAGGCAAATGTCCCAAGTGCATCCAAGCAGAGCCACAGAGGAAGGGTCCAGTGCTTGGTGGACACAAAGGGAAGTTGTTCCTACTGTTAGCTTCCTTCTGACCCTTGCTCTAGGCTTCACCTTGGGGCTGAAGTCAGTTCTGGGGTTCTGTCTTGTTGCTGTGTTTTTTTTTCAGTCCTATCACAGTGAACAGGAAAAAAGGTTGAGTAGTGTAAGGGTCTGAAAGCTGTGGGTGTGGTAAGCCAACTGCAGGAGTAGCTTGGGGTCAAGCGAGATGCAGCCTAGTACAGCAGTTTAAGGCAGCGTGGAGAGCCACGTCACTCCACACCACATGCTAGAGCTACAGGAACAGGGCAGTTCAGTGGCTATCTAAAACAGCAGAGGTGATATAACAGGTTGGCCATACATCTGATGGCCAAGTACAGCTTAGCGGGTGGCCGTTTATGTTCACTGTGGCTGTGGAGTTACCACCATCTAGATATTTCCTTGAACTTGCAAGTTCCCTTTATATTAAACATCCCCAAGTCAGCACAAAAGGTCAGGAGGTCCAGGGATACTCAACATGCACCCATGTGCATCCATCTCTACAAATGAGGCAGGGAGCTAAGCAAGTTTCCATCTCATGCAGCAGGTACAGATGGTCTCTGACAGGAAGTTAGACTTCTCCCATCCAGAGGGATCCTGTCAGTGGTCATCAGCTCTGGCAGTAAGGGGAGGTGAAAGTCCCACCAGGCATCCTGCTTCTGGGGATGGTGTGGGCACTGGAATATTTTTCCATGCATTCTGTTTTTAGGTTCTGTGACTTGCTGCCAGAAATGTTCTTTTCTTCAGTAAAAAGACAAAAATAAACACCTTTTACTGTGCGAGTCATTTTTAGAAGAAGCTGGTCATACCTTTAACTTGGCCCCTCATCTACCTTTCTGAGGAACTACCAAGCTGCCAGCTTTTGACAGAGCCTTGTTGGCTACAGGGCCAAAGCTATTTAGTTCACTGTCAGGAGGGATTAGAAAGTATGAGGCAACCAAAGCCACTGGTCAGAGGTGTGCGAGTCTCGTCTGCAGCCTAGCCTTCCTATAAACACCTTGGAACAGCAAAAGCTACAGTGAAGGTGCAGACCTGGATGAAAAATACCTTGCGGCTGTAGAGGAAATGGAGACTGATACTGCCCTCTCGTGGGAGGCACGTGGATTCTGCAGTGATGGACAGCTGAGGTTTCATTTCTTGTTAGCAGGAAAGAAGGAAGACATGGACTGTCTGAAAGCATCTTCCAACCCTAATCAGCATCAGTTTCTTCAGTTCTGGTCATCAGCATCATTCTGTATTGAAGTCTTCCCCCTGCACTGACTTAATTCAGAGCTGCTTTGGGATGGCCTCTTGGGATTAATGTGTGCAGGGACAGTTCTGTGGTCTCATACTTTTGATAAGGATCAGCATGCACAACTCGGCATGATGAACTGTCTCCACCCAAGCAGCATAGGATTGGAGAAGCCAGTTGAGTGGAGGAATCTTGCACAGTTTCATCTATTCCCCGGGGTTGGGCCATGTATAAGTACTTAAGCGGGGTGCACCAGGGTCTGGGAGAACAGTTGTTCACCAGGGCTTCACGCAGGATGACAAGGTCTAACGGCCACAAACTTCTGGAAGGCCGATTTAGACTAGACATAAGCAAAAACTTCTTTACAGTCCGAGTGTCTGGGGTCTGGAACAGACTCCCCCCAGAGGTGGTGCAAGCACCTACTCTGGACTCATTCAAATGGGGTTTGGATGCTTATCTTGCGGGGGTCATTTGACCTCAGCAGACTTCCTGCCTATAGCAGGGGGTTGGACTCAGTGATCTTGCAAGGTCTCTTCGAGCCTCTAATATCTATGAATCTCTTTCTGCAAGGACAGGAATGTTCATTCCAGCACTTCGGTGAAATTGCAATAGGCATAATTGCCTTTTGACTCCAACTTTGAGAGGCCTTGCTGGTTTGCTTCATCACTTTCTGTCCACATGTTTCCACCTCCAAGGTGGCTGCATGTTAGAAGTGAATAAAGCAGTTCATATGTATGTTGTGATGCTTCACAATGAGCAACGCTACCTTGAAATAAAGGAACCGCTGTCTCTTTTTAGGCAAATTTGGCAAAATGAATCTAGTAGCCTCAGTGATTTGGATGGGGGGGTGCAAAGCACCCTGTTCAAGTTTGCTGATGACATTAAGATGTGGGGGGATGTGGGCACAATAGAGGGGAGCAACAGGCTACAGTTGGACCTAGATAGGTTACAAGGATGGGTGGAGGAGAACAGGATGGGGTTTAACACAGGCAAGTGTAAGGTGATGCACCTGGGGAGGAACAATCGGCACCATACATACAGGCTGGGGAACTCCCCTCTAGTCAGCACAGAGGTGGAAAAGGATCTGGGAGTCATTACTGACTCCAAGATGAACATGAGTCGGCAGTTTCGGGAGACGGCTAGGAAGGCCAACTGCACCTTGTCATGCATCCACAGATGCATCTCAAGCAGGTCCAAGGAGGTGATCCTCCCCCTCTATGCGGCACTGGTCAGGCCGCAGCTGGAGTACTGTGTCCAGTTCTGGGCACCGCACTTTAAGAAGGATGTGGACAGCATGGAGAGGGTCCAGAGGAGGCCACTCGTATGATCAAGGGACAGCAGGGTAGG